GGCGACTTCCATGCCAGAGAAGACGTCTATAAAAGTAAGCACAAATCACATGAAAAATCATTCGCAGCATAATGAAAAGAGGGTTGATGATACAACTCAATATTCCAATTTTTTACAGTTCAAGATGGAACAGCTTTGACAAATTTGTAACTTAAACTTGGGCGGGTTGTGAGATGCCAATATTTTGCTCCCTACTCTTAGTTGATTTTATTCTTAAATCTGGAAGTCATTTGATGAAGAATGAACATTGCGACAATACGAAATTGAAGAGCAAGATATTCCGGGCGTCTTAAATGCTTATTCCCCAACCTCCAACTCCCACAACAGGCAGATGAGATATTCTAATGATACAGCACCTCTCAAATACTGAAACTAGTAGATATTCATGAGCTATTCCGAGCACCAGACAAGTTATTGGTAGGGCAATCATGTGGAGATACTATTAAAATAGAGTAACTCAAGCGCTTGAACACACACACACACATACCGCGTTCCATAGTCTTGGAAAGATTCCGCTTCACCATTCTTTGCCAGCTCGAAAGTTTGCAGCACCTCTAAACGGAAGTTATTGTATGTCGAAGTGTGAGTCAACCGAATGTAATCTCTAATGATTTTCGCCATTTTGTGACTGGCGGGTATGGGTTCAATGTTACATTTGAGATTGCTGTAATTCTTATCGGCTGGATGCATATCAAGAGTTTTGCCTTTCGTTTAGATAACGCTGAAGGCCGCCTCAATGTCTTCGAGAGCTTTGAGAAGGTCCAACTGGCTTTTGACATCATCCGGAGTGGAGATCAGGGGAGGAACTCGCATTCTAAAAAAAGACATGCAAGTTACAAATAAAGCACTGTAGTGTCTAGATTCTCAGTTTCTGGTAATAAGACTAACTCCCTGGGCTTAAATTCCTCTTCATCAAGTGTACTTCGTTCGCCCATCAAAGCTCTATGGGATATGATCCAAACAAATGCATGCTTGTTGGGATCTTCTGGGTTCTTTGTAAGTATTTTCCAGAAATATGACTATCAATTGGTCTTGAATATTGATTCCTTTGAAAGTATGGAGGAGTAATATCATAGTCCGAAGCTACTCAGATGATGAAGAGGTGTAATTAACAGCAATGTCTGTAGGGCCATGTCAGGAATTCCACACACAGCAGCGCAAATCAAAGAAAAATTATGTGAATGCTGAGGTATGAGAATGACAGAAGGTGAATTTCGCATCAGCAAAGCCTACGATGCCACTCGTCTACCCAATATGAGTTCTTAAAACGCTTATTTCATGAGGATTGGGCAACATTAGTATTACTATCATTGAATGAAAATTAATTATCACAACAAAAAGTGATTAAAAGGCCAATCAAACTTCATTCATTGCCAAGTAATAATTCAATGAAATACACTCATCAAAGGCATTTCAACTTATCTCAACCACATTCGGCGACCCATTAAGGAAATTAAGGTAGAAAAGATATAATAAAAGTAGTCATTAGCTTACCACTGAGAACAATAAGAAAGCTTGAAACAACCAGGCATATGAATATAAGAATTGGTGAGTACAAAGACCTTCAGTGCTGCACCTAACCGGAATTTTATTCAACAGCCACACAGCACCTGTTTGTACATGCAAACCTGACAAAATTCGTTAACGCCTATCATCATGATCAAGATATTTGCGCAAATTTAACAGAAGCCATAAAATAGGTAAAACAGTGCCAACCAATTCTCGAGTACTTTCAGGTAGAACGTATAAACAGCTGGAGTGAATTAATGAACATTGGAACCATACAAGTGATAGGTCTGGAGATTGTCAATTACGATATGCAATTTACCACTTCCACAGGTAAACTAATAGCGTTAAAAACAAAGCGCTTACCCAAAATCATGTGGAATTCGAGTATAGTAGGTATTGCAAGCATGCAGGAGCTTGTCACTAAGAGCCTTCTTGTCATCGGGATTAGGATTACCTTTTCGCTTTCTTGCTTTGCCTCTCCCAGTCTTTGGACCATCCTGTTCATCTTCCTCCAGTTTCTTCAAGGCCTCCACACAATCGGAGATCTCTTTGAGAGCCTCGTAACCGGCCTTGATCTGTCCAGGGGTCAACTTGCCGAGGGGTGACCGACGTGCGTCATAGTTCATCTCCCGCATCTGATGCTCCATCGCTTTGATGTCACTGATCATCTCAATTAGGGCCTAGAGGTGGCAAAAAAGAAAAGCTTAAAATCGTACACTCAAGTATTTTATTTCTAGATACTTACGGCCTTAAATAAAGCAAGAAATTTAAATTGTCTAATACAAGATATAAACACACTTGTCGCATTTTCAAACATTTATTCACGTACTTTCAATCCCAGAACAAAGGACAAGATATACATTAAAATCTGCAGAAAAAAATTCTTCCACTTTTATCGATTAAGATTATATACTCACAGCCTAGAGCCAACACACTTATCAACTGAATGTTTCCTTAATAGCACAGCGACATAGATATCGATTAACAAGTATGATGCAGTCGCAGACGAGCAATAGAAAAATAGGAATTTTGGAACAAAGTTCCAAAATCAACACAAGATCCCAATAATGAACAGTCTTTTCTTTAAAACTAAACCAATAATTTACACAGACTAAGATTCCTACCTACCTTTAAAAAAAGATTAGAGATTAACTTTACTTTCTAATTTACGAGCAAACTGGTTTACCAAAACTTCAGGGGGCAAAAGTGATTTCGGGGTTTTTTTCTTCGCAATCTTTGAACCAGTATCGACTTCTTCCTCTTCAACAGGCTCCTAAAGTAAGAGAAAAAATTGTCATTTTTCCATAAAACTATGCAAAAGGAGCTCAATAAAGTAAGCACTTGCACCAAAATCTTGCTCAATGAGATCATAGCGACCAGGATATTTTATGAAGTTAGCTCGACAGTGCCAAGCATTACCAGTCTTTTCGCGGAACTTCTTTTGAAATTCCCAAATAGCTTGGTCTTTAGAGCCAAAGCTTTGGAGAGAAGTTTGAGCTGTTTTTCCAACTCGACCCCAACGAAACCAAACAGAGTAATTTCCACCAGAGTCATCCTCCAGAACTTGACCCATGTAGTATTTATTATTATTGTTCTGTAAATTTGTCTAAAGATGCAAAATAGACTCCGTTACTTCCATCTCGATAGCAAACGTCAAATACAACAAAAGTGAGCATTTACCTGATTAAGCATGAAGTTGTAAACATTGTTACCGTCATGAAGTACATGTGCGACATTAACTTTCCCAGTGCACTGGGGATCCACTGGAACTCTTCCTTTAATAATTATTTTAGCAATTGCAGGTTTATCGTCATCACTGGCATTATCATGGTTAGATTTGGTGTCTATGAAATCATTTTAGGCGGGAAACGAAGTACCTCTAACCTTAGCCTTTTTTACCGGAGTGGATTTGCTGTCTGCTGGAATAGTCTTTCGCTTTCCAGCTGGAATATTAAAATAAGTATATGAAACCAACTGATATAACTTTCAAACACATGAAAAAAAAACAATCTGTTTGAACACAACATGAGCACACTCACGCATTTTACGATAATGGACAGAAGCTGCGATTTCGATCTGGTTTTTAAAGCCTTATGAAGGTCGCGGAACCTATAAAAAGGTCATATTAATTTTCACATTGAAGAAATAATTTACCTTCTCATTGATTTCAAAGAATATTTTTT